CCCGAGACTTCGAAAGCCCCTCTTGAGTAATAACCCATCTATGCCGGTGGCATTCCCAATAAAACACTCAACATTGAGGGGCTCCGCTTGGCTCAACCAACTCTCACGGCCATGATTAGGCTGCAGATAGAGCTGTTATGAGGATATGGGAGTACTGCTTTGAAATCATTACGTGTTTAGGAGGAAACCTGCCATACGCCCGACCTGTGTGATCAACCTACACAAGGAGGATGTGACCAAAAGGCGAACATGAGATCAAGAGACAAGTCGAACTCGACTTCGAAGACGGATGATCGCGAAGAACTGCGAGAACTGGCCCAAACCGATTTTGTGAAGGACTCGAACGCAGTCGAAGGTGGCAAACCACGGATCTCATCGAATGAGAATGTGTACGCAAAAGCAGTACGTCCAGTACTACGACGTAGCTCATCGAAGAAAGGATCCAGAGAGCCCAAAGAAGATAGTAAGAAGAAAAAGCCTACAGGATCGACTGAGAAAGCCGCCCGTTCAAAAAAATCCAAAGGAAAAGGATCTTGTGAAAAAGCTGGCTCGAAGGAGAGGAAACGTAATAGCAAGAAAGGCGGTGCCAAAAGTTTAAGTAAGCTAAATAAAACCAAAGTCAGTATTTTAACGGAAGTCTCTATTTCTTTATTTGCACATTTTGTAGCACAGGTTTATTCTTCAGGTAAACGATATTTATAATCAGTTGTACAAAACACCAGCAGGACGGCCGTACAAGGATTCGAATGAAGCAGTGCAAGTCAAAGGAAATGCACCAAAGGTTCAAAAAACTACAAATGATAAAAAATAAACATTTTGAAGTTATGTGGTGCGAAACTTCTCAGAAGAGATACAGTAGTCTCCACATCCAAGAGATAGGATGGGCGTGGCTGAGTACCTCGTTGGCACATGGAGTAAAATGCGTTTTTCGTGGGATGTTTCAATTTCAGACAAGTGGCATTGTGTCTTGAACTGAGTAATACATGGGTATTTGCCCCAGATCTCCTGAATGATGAGGGCATAAAGAGTACGGAATAGGCAGCTCGACGCCACGTTCAAGAATGCAATATCTAACCACCCTTCGCCACCAAGGGCCGCCGAATCGGAGTAAGCTGCCCGCGACAGCACAGATTCGGCAAAAAAGTATGAACGCAGCCTTTTTAATGAGACAATCTGTCTTGCCATCTGTCTTTGGTTAGGGTTTGCAGTATACCACAGAAAGCGGCCCAGCCCTTGTATCATGTAAGGCTGCGTTCATACTTTGCGGCAGCGTCCACAGCGTTCCGAGCGTCCGGCAGCGTCAACGACTCGCAGAGTATAGATATCGATTTAGCGTCTGCCAGCGTGCACCAGCATCCGCCAGCGTTTGCCAGCGTCCACTAGCGACGAGCAGTCTGCTACACTCCCATCTCCCCGTACTCCGTCACCCGGCTATCTGCTACCCTCCTTCGGCGCCAATATCTCCTTATACGCTCGAGACGCTGGTGCACGCTGAGTGGCAACGCGATAGATCGTTATCTATAAATGCGCCGCTGATGGCTGCCGGGCGCTCGGAACGCCGTTGAACACTGCCGCAAAGTATAAACGCAGCATGAGGAAGGTTCTTCAGTATGTTTGCACTACCTTCCCTAGACTGAAGGTTGATCGGAATGCACGTCATCGCTAATTTATCCTCTTGCGGCAACGGCACGTAATACTACATATGGAAAGGAAACGACTGAAGTTCCACTTCCACGCATAGAACGAGAGAGGGCCAGAAAACGGAACTGAACGAAACGTCACTGGAGCTGGCATCGGGCGCTATCGGGCGCAATGGGCCTTAAATACCTAGCGGCGAACGTTTTGGCGCTTGCTGTTTTTTCAAAGCTTTAAGAGCGTATAGCCTCTGACTGTTGCCTGCTTGACGCCATCGGTGCCGCTTATGGGAACGCTAGCCTTTAGTTTAATGGGGCGGAAGGTGCGTCAAGGGCAAAGTTGCTATCAGTGGTACATCCCTTTTATCGCAGGCGCTATAGCCTCCGGCTCCGCCTCCAAAGGTCTTGCCTTCCCAGTCAAAAGTAATGCTCTCTGGGCAAGTATCATGAAGTTTAAGCGTCATTCGTGTCTCTGTAGAGTCATCGGGTTCATTACTGAACCAGCCGGACGGGAGTTGTCCAAAGCGCGCGTCTTTTTCGTTTCTTACCTTCTACAATTGTTATATCGTTAATTCACGTACTGTCAGAAGAGATACCTGCTCCAGCCGATCCATAGAAAGGAGTAGTGAATTTCACGGCCCAATCAGATTATTTATAAGTAGCAGAGAACACGAATGGCGCTACAAAATATGCAATTCAACCAAAAGTCGGTTGAAAGATCTCGACAACGAAAAATTAAAGCACATACTTAACAATGGTTGTATATGTACTACAAATACAGTACAAGAATTTCTCGATAAAAATTATGAACACGTTATCACAGGAAATGTAAATCTTATAAAAGAAGAGAGTTTTAGAAGATTGCTGAGTAAAGGAACCAAATACAGATCAGACACAGGTATAACAAGCCAAGAAGTTAGAACTGGTGTTTGAAGAATGACATCAACCAAGGTCATGAATTATTTAAATGTAAATAAAATCTAGGGCTGAATCACAAAATAAATCTATTACAGAAGCATTTTCGTTCATGTTACCATGACAAAGTTAAACCTCTACTGACAAAGGTTAATATTGAAAATATAGGAGAACACATACCTTATAGCTTAATCAAACAATATCAAGAAAAATATGTGTTCTGTCCTCTAGACAAAGCAATAATAATTATATGGCATTATCTGCAAGAAGTTCTACCTTTTGAACATAATGCATGAAATGGGCATTTCTTATGATGCTACCAACCACACATTTGTTTATGGAAATAGTAATAACACATATGAATTAATGCCTCATACAAACAAGTATTCTTTAATATTGAAGCACAAATTCCTCTGCAAAGAATAATATCAATATATCTGTTGATGCAGAAATACCTACTATATATGCCTTACCAAAGCTACACAAGAATCCAGTCAAATTTAGATACATCACAGGTGCTCATAGTAGCAGTGTTAAGCCCTTGGCCCAGGAACTACGCATAGTCTTCACACATCTCAAAAATCACTTTATTAACTACGCCAAAGTAATACAGCATCGCAACAGGACTATCAAGACATTTAAAAAACTTTGGGGGGGTCCCCCCCCCCGGCCAAAATTTGTACTTTAATATAAAGTCAAAGAACTTCACCCAACATCCGCATAACTGACCAATCTTAAAATCTACACTGCGGATTTCACGGACATGTTCACAAATTTGGAACATGATCTCATTATAAAGAAAATGCAAGAATTGCTTAACATTTGCTTCAAAAATGCCAACAGATCTTTTATTGCCACTAATGGTTACCATGTTTTCTATACAGATGGGAAAGAAATCAAGAACAACTACAGATATTACAAATCCAGCGATTTAGTATACCTTATTGACTATCTTTTACGTAACAGTTTTTGTCTTTTTGCTAATAATACGTTCAAACAGACAAAAGGCGTCCCACAAGGTGGTAATTTCAGTCCACTTTTGGCAGATCTAACGCTCTCTGTCATGGAGTATTACTATGCTAAATCCAAAAAGTTTGATAACAGTAAGCTGTTCATTCCATATAGATATATGGACGATTTGCTTGTTGTACATAACCAAACTGACGGTGACGTGGATGAACAACTTTATCAAGTTTATCGAAATACCCTTGAATTGAAAAAAACTCATAATAGTGAATTTTCCAGCAATTATTTAGATTTGACAGATGCAATATTTCTAATGTAAGTTATAGCTAGTTGCTATAATAAAACGGGACGAATTTATCTTCCAATGTAATCAGATTTCCATATAGTGACACAAACATTTCCCTTATCAACAAAGCCTCTGTTATATATACGGAAACGTTGAGGTTAGCAAACACTTGTACGTTCTTCGATGTATTCGTAAGCAAAATAACGGATATGGTCACCACTCTGTCAAAAATGGCTACGAAGAAGGTTTTATTATTACTAGCATTGTTAAATGTATTTACAAAAATAAATTTATAAGTTACAAATACTCTATTGCAAATAACTATAAAAAGATAAGTAGGCTGGTTAAAAGTATTCTCATTAGCAACGATGTTCAAAACACTACTCTCAATTTTATCGCTACAATTTTTATTCACCGTTGTAGTCAGCTCGACGGTGTCTTTTACTCAACATTCCCTTAGTTGGTTGCCCATCTACTCCATTCCAATTTTCTTCCTCTTACACGTATTTAGTACTCAGAACTTTATAACATTCTATCATTTTTACTGTACAATTCCTTCTCATTTTTATTGCATGAATTTTACACGTGAGCTTTTTCTACATGTTTTCTCTTTTTGTCCTATTTCTTGCTCCTTCCCCTGTGTAGTCTATGTCCATGTCTTCAACCCTGTCGTACTGACGAGCCTGGGGGGTTGGTAAGACTTCGATGATTCGTCTACGACACCGGGCGAAACGGATCATCTGTGCTGTGGAGTGTATGCATTCCC